TGTAGGTGCACTTCTCAAATATTTTTAGATAAACACCGTTTTGGTGTTCATTTTCAACCATAATTCATGGTGTTATATTAACACCACTTGGTGTTGGATTTTGACACCATTTTAGGATTACTCTTTACACCACAGATATTTTAAACAGTGTAATACTTCCTCGAAATTAATATTAATTTCATCCCGAGAAACTTTTAACCTGGGCACAAAATTCGGAAAACATTATAAGATGTAAGTAAATCTGTAAAATACCTTTGATAATGCCGCATTTATTTAAATCCTGAAAACATTAACTTATTAATTTGTCTTCATTTCATTGCCATGCTAGGTGAGTAGAAATTTGCCAAGTGAGACCATTATTTTCGACATTGTCATGAAAATTAAAAATAATAGTTATTTATGTCATTAGGTTAAGAAGTAAGGCTTTTTGTGCTAAGCTCAAGGTTACAATTGAGCGAAGCACAAAAAGGCACTTCTTGGCCGAATGGCATACAGCATTTTATCTTCAAAGCACTTTATATAGGTCAATTTAATTCAACATCAAAGCGACCTAACCTCACTTTTTTAGAATCTCATTTATTTATTAGCTAAAGATTACATTAAATGTACAATAATTATTATTGCTTTTAGAAGCAGTAATAGTTTGACAATACTTAGTGTTGTCACTGAAAAAAAACTGTCTTGTTTTTTTCCAAAAAAAAATGTTTTTTTTAGAAAAAAAACAGAGGACCTTGTTTTTTTTTCAAAAAAAAATGTTTTTTTTTCAAAAAAATGGTCAAAAATACTCAAATTATATTAAGTGACAGGATTTTCGAAATTTTACTGCTGAGGAAAGAATTTTTGACACATTCTGTCACTAGAAGAATATTAAATACTAATTATAGTTTCTTACTTACCATTAGTAATATTCTTAAACAAATTGTTTAAAGTTGTTGGCTTTCGCCCTGAGCCTTCTCTTTTCGGCATTTCTACCAACTATGCATCAACCTACTATAAAGCCGCAGGTCTTAACTCTTCTATTATAATACTGTATAGACTATACGATATGCTGAGTCAGCATTGCCAACAGCGAGGCGCCTTTTTACCATACGTGGGTGGGGATGAAAAAAAACAACTTTTGTTTTTTTTCAGTGAAAAAAAAACGTTTTTTTTACAACACTAACAATACTACATGATTTAAGTAGAAATGGATTTTTGAATTCAATTAATTGTCTAATAAAAAGGTAGGTATCTAATTTCAATTTGTTAGGATTTTTATTTAAAGAATAGGTAGTTTGGAATGTTTAAGCTGTGTTTAACATTTAATTTCACTGAAAACTTAAAGATAATTTAAATCTTAGAAAAAGAATCGTGCGTTTTCTTGGTGGCCTAACCTCACTTTTTGTTTTATTATTCATATTTAATTTTACAATAATTTAATGAAAAATATTAAACATTAACAGTAAAACAAACACATTAGTGCTTATTATAAATAAATTAAACCAGTTTAGTACGTTAATTTCTTGGAAAAGGATTAATTTGTCAAAACTATACCCCTAGCGAGAAAAAATCGAACTAATTACTTGCCTCATAAAAATTTTTATCGGCCTAGGCCATAACAAGGTATTTCTTTATCGAATGTTGACCACAATAAAGTTTAAATTATTGACCGCGTGAAGATAAATATTATTAATAATCTACTAAGTAGTAGAAAGTTACTACATTTTTATGTGGGAATGGTAAAAAATACAATTTTTAAAAACCTGCTATTATTTTTTGCTACTTTTTTATATTTTATTAAAAATACTAATTTGGCCCTGTTCTTCCTAAGAAAATTAAAAAAATAGGAGTTAAAAGAAGCTCTAAAAGCTAAAGATTAAGGAACCGTTTAAACAATTTTGTTAACGCTTCTTGAGTCAAAGATAAATAATATTGTCAAGGTACGCCATATGGGTGAATATCCAAAACGAGGATAAATTGGGGTGGTAAAAAAAAGCAAAGATTAATAAAACACTAGCAAAATAATACCTCAATGTGTATTTCTTAATAACATAAAGTAATTTCAAGGCGGCTATAAATTAAACTTAATACTTCTATTATTTAACAAAAAATAAATGAGTCCATGGAGTTGACACAATAACATAAAAACAACATAAATCTATAAGGTTATAACCTTGTATTGCCTGTTCTGTTGATTTCTGAATTAGATAAGATAACGGCAAATCATCTTCTGAATCTGAATGGATGTCAGAAAAAAAACATCTTTTAGCAAATGTTAGCAAATGATTTTTAACATAAAAATTTCCTAATCCATAACTAACTAATAGAAATTAACGGAAATAGAAAAAATAGTGGCGAAAGATAATTCCGCACTCGTCCTTTACGGCACTCGCACGCTTCGCGGCTCGTGCCGTAATTTCAGACTCGTGCGGGAAAACAGTGCCTTTCGCCACTTGTACTTTAATATACTATTAATACTTTTATTTAAATAGAATAATATTATTCTTAAAAAATGCAAATAAAGGAAACAAAATTCGATCTTTCAACTGCCGGATATCCGGCCGCCGAATATCCGGCTATCCGGCTTCGATTCTTGCTGGATATTCGGGATCCGGTGTCTGGCCAAACAACTATCCATTTCATCTCTATATCTATATGCTGTATATAGTTATAATAATAATACTAATTTTTTAAAGAAAAATTAAATTAAATTTATTATAATTTAACTATATATTATTAATTATAATTATCGTTAATAATGCCTTAACTTATATGAGCTAAGAGTTTAGGGCAATAATAAGAAAGTAAACAACTCCATGGACTTACCTTTTAACTTCATGGAGTTGATGTTTTTATAGTTAAAGTCACAAACTTTAGAAAATGGTACATAATGTATCTTTAGTTAACTGTAATTTAAGCAAAGCATATTTGGTTATTTCACCTGGAGAAAGTTTAAATTTCAATTGTATTTAAATCCCTTTGTTATTAAAGATATGGAGTTGATCTTTAATAACACAATTAAATAACACACCATTCTGAAATCATCAAATTAAAAAGAAATTTGGTGCAATATTATAATCAGTACCACTACAACACTTGCTTATGTATTTTGTAACTTTAACCCACTTCACTGCAATTTCAACTAGTGATGGCATATTTTTTCGGATACTTCGCACTTCGCACACTCGTTAAATAGGTATAAGGAATTCGAATAAAAATAATAACAGATTTCTGGTATTATATTATAAACACTCTGGACAGTTGTTACAAACACGTTACGAATTAGAATAAAGTAAGCAGAAACATAAGTTGCAGACGCTGAAGTCGGTTGAACTTGTTGATGCGTATTGTCAGTGGGAAATGTTTTTATTGGCTACCTAAAATCACGTGTACTTTTTTAACTAAATAATTTGTTAAATATTAACAAAATAATCTGTTACCTTTGAAATTAACAAAATGCTTACAAAATTGCATATTACCTTTACAAAACTTTCGGTAAAATATTTTCCTTTGTTAAAATAATTACAAACCCTGGTAAAATTGTACAAAATAAAATTTACAAACAACAAACTCATGTTAACAAATCTGATTTAGAAAAAACTAACTGTAAGTACTACATAGATTATAAAATTAAATTGTTCGACAATTAAATTACTGGGTTGGCTTGTCTTAAAAAACAAAATTCAGGAAACAATGCTATATAGGAAATAAGTAATTAAAGTGGAATGCTTTGTCCTGTAAATCACTGCGGCAGGTTGCCTTAGACACCGTAGATAACTCAAAATGTATATGAACCCTAGAGACACCTTGTTAGAAACGCCTACGTCTACTGCTAATTTACATAATACAGGATGTCCCTAAATGGTTTGTAAACGTTTGATTTATTTCGCCGGTAGAGGTTGTTAAAGATTTTTTAAATCGATTTTTAGTGATTTTTTGAGGGAATTATCTCCGATATGGATGATTCTACAAAAGTTGGACAAGTTGATGTCAACATGAAATTCTGAGTAAAATTACTATAGGTACCTAAAGTGAATATTTTTCGAGTTATTAATTTTTTTCGTTAAAATTTAAGAAATGCGCCTGATCAGGTAATTTAATAAAAAAAATTAAAGAATTGACATGGAAACATGAAAAAAATGTTAAGATTTCAAAAAGTCCTACCCCATATTTGCAAACCTAATAACAAAAAAGTTATAAACTACTCTCTAAAAATGAATTAGTTAAAAATAACTAATTTAATAGTTAATAGTGGCTGCTTTTTCACTTGTGCCATGGTTAACCATCGAATACCATGGTATCCTAAAATTGAATAGCCAATTCTTATGTAAAATTGTACCCTGAATCCGAAAATGTCTTCAAAAGTTAAATAAGTAGAATAGTTTTTGAGATATACTCAATTTTCCATTTAATATGGAATTGACTATATCTCAAAAACTGCTTCACTTTCATAATTTTTGACGGTATTTTCGGATTCAGAGTACAATTTTACATAAGAATTGGCTATTCAATTTTGGGATACCATGGTATTCGATGGGTAACCATGGCACAAGTGAAAAAGCAGCCATTATTAACTATTAAATTAGTTATTTTTGACTAATTCATTTTTAGAGAGTATTTTTTATTGATGCGTATTTCTCAAATTTTAACGAAAAAAATTAATAACTCGAAAACTATTTACTTTAGGTATAGGCCATGGTATAGTAATTTTACTTAGAATTTTATGTAGAACTTAAAAATGTAAAAATATATAGGGTGTTCCATATAAATAACAAAGTTGGGGCATTTTGTTTAAAATATTTTAGAATAAATAGACTTAAATGAATTACAAACGATTTTAAAATTTTAAATCGATATCTTTTTTCGTTCCCCAGAAACTTCTAATGAACCACGAAACACCCTGTATAATATTTCAAAAATATTAAAAAATACGTAAAAAACGCATTGTAAAAGCATAAAAATTGGGGACCCTTTTGTAGGATATTGGGTAAAAATTAAATCACATAAATAAATTAATGTATTTATTGATTACAAATTACTTAATTTATTTTTTAAAATTTCTCATAAAAAAACAGGTTGCCAAGATACCAATAATAAACATTCCTGCATAAGACCAATTAAAACTCAGGTAACCGACTGAACCCGGAAGTAAAGCTGCCTAAAAAAACAGTAAAAATAATAAAATTGTTGATTAATTATAAATTTATTTTTACCAATGAAAATTTTAAAAACACGATTTTTATATTAAAATCTTCAAATATCATTTAATAAAATGTATGAAAATTTCTAAAAAATATTTGTTTTTAATTTTTTTTAAATCTTTTTCTCGATCCTCCCCTAAATGAATCATATAATAATGAGAAATGCAAAATGTATAACTTGATTTTTATTGTTTTACTTAATAATACTTATTTTAAAAATATTAACGTGATATAAATAATAAGTTTAATTAATTGAATACGTCAATGCAGAAACTGAATATGTCCTACCTATCTAGTTTTGAGATAAATAAGAAAAACTGAACAGAAAGTGGACATATGTTCTGGACATATTCAGTTTCTCTACTATATTAACGCCTTTGTATATTCTAGATTACCGTGACATGTGAAATTTCTACGCCATTCGATCGGGCTCCCTTTACTTATAGTAAATCCATGTTTAACTCAATAGCCCTAAAAAGTGGACATATTCAGTTTCTGCATTGACCTATTCAATTTAGGTATAGGGATGTCAAGGGTCCTGAGATCGATTTTTTATTTTTTTAGGTATTGCAAAAGGTGTCAAACTAAACATAAGGTGTCAAACTAAACATAATCGAATCGCCTAATCAGTTGAGTAGTTCAAGTACAATGTGCTCGAATATTTTGGACAAAATAATTTTTTTAATTATTTATTTCTCGCTATAAATATTAAATTAAACCATTATATATCAAATTAAACCATTTTGTTGTCGTAAAAAAACTGGAGAACACAAAATTATTTTAACAAAAGTATAATAAAATAAAAAAGCATAAATAAACAATTTGTTCAACACTCTAATTTTTAGCTTTTTAAATTAAATGGAGAAAATAACTCCCACGACTCTATGTTTAAATGGTCTTTTATTATTTTGAAATTTTTGTCGCGAAATATTTTAGCATTCTTAAATAATTTAAATCCTCAATGGAATGTGTATATTTTTAGTGGATTTTTTGTTTCATATTTATAAAAACTTACAAAAAAGACTGCTATTCATGCTGATTAGTTTTAATATTTTAAAAAGTATTGTTTGTTTTCTAAAATTGTTTACACGACCAGGCGCGTGCTGGGGTGATTTTTGGGCCCGGGAAATAATTCCCTTGCAGGGCCGTACCACGCCTTAATTTTATGTCATTTAGAGAACGTTGAATTTTTAAAAACTTTTACAAAATGTACAACAACACAAAGCCTTGGTAAAGATATTCGTGATCTGTCTAGTAGCTGTCATGCTTTCAAATCACGGGGTGCCTGAACAAGTCTCAGGTCACATAAAAATGTCAACCAAAACGGATTGTATTTTTAGAATATGCATCTATTCCTCACTCCAACACCATATTTTTCAAAATCCTAGCTGATCCTCTTTTTTATTTTTTTGCAATTTTCTGGATTAAAAAAAACAAGAAACCTGAATATCGGCTTAATTAAATTAGATTTATAACATGATTGTCATTCTATATAATTGGTAGATTCGTTTTTGAGTAAGTATTGATCTATTTAATATATATTAAATAGATCAATACTCACTCAAAAATGGATATCCGTTGGGTGAATAGGATAAGATCGGAATAAAACTAGAGAATCTCTAGTTTAAATTACATTTTAATTTCTGTAGCTATTCAAAATACGGCTGCAAGAAAAAAGGTGCAATGGTGCAATTACCTTATTAACACGCTTACACAGCTTTAAGCAGTTTTTTAAACAAAGTAGGCCATGCCTCAGCGAAAAAACAACTTATAGGCAGTAATTTGTTATCAGTGACAGTTAATAGTATCTATTGGTTATAGAGAATTGTTCTCTCGAGTTTTTGAAATAAAAATGACTACAAACGCAAGATTTAAATAAAAGATAATTTTTGGAAAATCCCTGCCCAATAGCATGTTTGTAATAACTGCAAGATTGGAAAGATTGCTTTTTAAATTTAGTAATCCGAAATTTAGTCTAAGCAATATTAAGTTTTTAACTGCAATTTTCGGTACATGCAGGCATACTCTTTGGGAATATGAAAAAAATATTAAAACACGCAAGATGGTGAAAATGCCAGACTTTGAAAAAGAAAATGTTATTACAAACTCTACTGGGAATATCCAAAATGAGGTGTGTGCGTGCAGAATATGCACAACAGCAAGATTCAAAGAAAGGTAACACGAGGAAGGGGAAATACAAAAAACAAGGAAAAAAAGGCCCAGGATACCGAAAATAAAATTATTTTGGGCAAAATCTGTTTCACAAGAGTTGGTAAAGGAAAAAACATATATGTACAAATTCAGAAAGACATGGAAATATCGTTAATATTATAAAAAAAAATTACGCCGAAAACTCAAGAACAAGTCATTTCTTCAGTTCTCAAGACCCGAGTATTAAAATCTAATAATTCATCATCTTCACGCAAAAATGCTTCTATTAGTCTAACGAAGATTGTCTATGGAAGATTGTATTAGATTTTTGAACGGTGCTGGGATAGGCACATGGTCTGAGCAGGCTGGGGAGTCGATCCTTCGCGAGTTTATAAAATACTGGAATAAGTATAAAATCAATTTACTTGAATATCCTGATTATAGTGAACATTCAAAAAAAGCTGTAGTAGACTTTAGTTCCAACAATTTGTAAATGATTCATACACAGAGAAAAGTAATCTCTTGATTTTACTATATCTGTCTTGACTCAAATAAATTATTTATTTCGATATGACACAAGAAAATATTTATTTAGTGGAAAACTTGGGTTTATTTGACTTTTTAAACTGATGGTTTGTTTAATACAAGTAAATATTTAGTTGACTTTTTATCTCAGGTTTAGTAGAATCTTACTTAAAGAAACAAAACATTTACTTGAAGTAAGTAATTCATTTTTTTTAAATTAAATGTGAAGCTTTCTTAAAGAAACAAAATATTTACTTACATGAAGAAAACAATTTATTTCAGACAAATAATTAGTACCTTTAATATTATAATTTCACGAAATATATAGTGATTGAACCAAACAAATGTTTGCTTGTTTTAATACTATGATTTATTTATTTTAATGTTGTTAATTACTTGATATTTGGTCGGGAAAATTAAATTAAAAAACGTTTATTCCAATATTTTTTATTTGAACAAAACAAGTGTACACTTACAAATACGTATTTACAATAAACATTGAAAACACACAATATAAAATTAACAATAAACAAAACATATAATATATGAGCGGACAAAAATAGGAACAAAAAATACTTCAGTCACTGAAGTTCAGTGTAAATATTAATGCACGGCATTAATAAAATACACCAAGTCTGTGGGTAAGTCATAAGAGGATAAGTCAAAACAAGCAATTTTTCAGCAGAACCTTAAACGTGTTCGCATTAATTCAGGAAATATATTTATGGGACATTTGAACATTTTCAAAAACTTAATTTATTATTATCAGATAGGTATCTTTGTTGAAAACACCTTCCTAGGTAGGTACCTATAGTTTAAAAACAAATACATATAGTTTGCCAACCAAAATTACTTGCACTTGTCAAATACAAAAAGAAACGGTTTATTTTTAGTTTATGGCCTGTAAGTAAAATGTGCAATTATATTTAAAAGCAACAAGTCAAGTCTGATACATGCGTGATCCAAAATAAAATAGGTACCTATATTATCATATAACTTTGTAGTTTCCAAACTACCTAGGTACACAAAATTTTAATTAACTAAATCACTTTTACTTACCAACAAAACTAAAAAGCAAATGGGTTAAATTATTTTCTTTAAGGAATTCTTCCATACTATTAAACATAAGCACTTAAACACAAAACTATAACCGTTGATTAAACACCTTCTCTTATCTTAAGTTAAGAGTCTTAACGCTTTGCCAAGGGCTCTGCGAGTTTGTTTGCAAATGCTGCCGGCTGCCGGACAAGCGTCTTTGTCTTTGGAGTCAAATGCTCTAATTGGCTCCGCGAGTCACCTGGACATAAAAGCAAATAATCATATCAATTCTATTATTTTGTTAAAATAAGAAATTATATGCTTGTATTAACATTTGATAAAACTAAATCCATACAACCTATATCCAAACAAGTTAATTAATTGCTCTAAATAAATATTTCTTTACAATTAATCACAACAATAAGTTGTTTTCAAGAAACTCATGATTTACAACCAAATAATAGTATTTTCTTATTGTAAACAAGAAGTTACTACGAATAAGACAATTTTACTTCATACAAGAAAAACTGTTTCAAATAAATGCATTTTCTTAAATCAAGAGATTACTTTTCTCTGTGTAGTTTTCCTTAAAGTAATTTTAGGTATCATTATTGTTTAATAAATTAAAAGATTACTATTATTAATAAAAATTAAATTATGAAAAAACTTCACTTTTTTTCTCTAGTCTCTTATCAAATTGGAAAATTTATTGATTTATAAAAAAATGGAAAAATATAAATAGTGATTTTTTTTCGACTCTCTCTTTATATTTTAATTCTTGATTCTTTATTGAAATTGATGATTGATAGGTCATACTAATATTTTAGCGGAGACCGACTTCATCAATTTTTGCAAAAAAATCCAGAAAATTGCTAAAAAATAAAAAAGAGGATCAGCTAGGATTTTAAAAAAAATATGGTTTTGGAGTGAGGAATAGATGCATATTTCAAAAATAAAATCTGTTTTGGTTGACATTTTTATGTGACCTGAGACTTGTTCAGGCACACTGTGAAGTATTAACATTGTAAAGATTCTACTTACATATAAAACATTTTTAACCCCAGTATCCTAAAAAACTTAATGTCTGGGCAGAAATTTTGGGAGATGTATTAATTGACCAACATTTGAATTGTCATATTTATTTTGAAATGTTAGATAAAACAATACAGCCACTAATAATAAATGAACTAGAAAGGATAATGAACTGGCTTTGGATAACAATTTATTACATTTTTAACAACATGGGGCACCACCTTATTATGTGGTAGCTGTTAGGGCTGAATCAGAATTATCCAGTGGATGGGTAGAGAGGACCAATAAAATGGCCTCTCAGATCTCCAGATCTGACACCTTTAGACTTTTCTACAAAACCCAGCCTCATTTTAATGAAGATCTGCGACAACGAATAGTTTAAGAATGCCGAGCTATTCCACGACAAAAATTTTAAAATGTTTGAAGGGAATTTTGAATAGGCTGTACTATTGTTTACAAAATAATGGGGGTCATTTTGAGCATTTAATTTAAAAAGCTAAAAATTAAATGGTTTTGATTATTGTTATACTGGTATCATAAAAATACAATAAAAATAAACGAAATATATTCTATAAGCTATGATTAAGGTAAAGTTCCAAAAATAAACATCAAGTTGAATTTTGCTACTTGTACATAACTTTGTTATTGTTCATAGATTTTTTTTTCGTAAATACCTTTTTTCTTCGTAAAAGTGGAAACTGTATGTATATAAAAATATATCATATTTCAATGATTTTTATTCATTCTTGTTGAATGGTGAATATTGAAAAAAAAAACCTTTATATTTGGATAAAAATAAGAATGACCTTTTGCAACCATATTGGCGGTTTCTAACTTCATGGAGATATGACCCAAATTGCAAAACAGCCTTTAAAAAACAAATGATAAAAAAAAATTAGAACATTAGAAAAAATAGATGCACCATTTGTAAACTACTGTTATTAACGTACAATAAATAATAAGTGATCCCATTTTTTTTATGTTTTGAATATTTACCCATCCTCCTTGTTTTTCAATCCAAAAGGCCAATCTACCACTTATGTAACATGTCGTCCAAAAATATATTTGCAAAAAATATCCTGATATTTTCTCCTGCAAAGCACGTATGGATAAATCCGCGCAAAAGTAAAATAGGACAAGGACTCGTTCACAGGTGATTCCCCCTTGCTGTAAAATAAATTGTACTTTTTTTCAAAGCTGCAAATAAATTTATTTATTTAGTTTATTGGCCTAAACAATGTCCATTTAAAACCATTAAAAAAATATGCAAACAATTAATGTGGTAAATATTATTGTATGTGTTAATTATTACAATTAATAAAGGATGTACATACAGATGTGTTAAACTACTAAGGTGTCAACTTTATTTTAATTTAAACAAGCGAAAATTACTAATTAACAATTGTGCAATTAGAATTAATTAAACCGAATGATAATTCACAACAACAGGAAATCCTCAATTATAATTCGGTAAACTATATACCTACAAATTAATAATGCATTTTTAATGTGACATTTTTAAATTTTAATCGAAAAGTTATCCAAGATATACCTATAGTAAAAAATGTATTATTAATTTGTAGGTTATTGTTTTCCGAGCGTGGAATCATAGCAATTACTCCCGATGATGAAAGTTTCCTAGCGAGCCGATAGGCGAGTGAAGGAACTCATTGAGGGAGTAATTGCTATTCCAGGCGAGGTAAACACTATATTTTTTATCGAGTGGGTCTAATTATTAATTATTTTTTAGAAAATTAGAAAAAGTTAAGTTTAAATTAAAAACTGAGGTTTACATTTCTAAAGATAGTATATACTATAGAGATAATCTTAACTACTTCAAGTTATTTAAGCTATACTCTATAAATGCTCACTTTAGCTTAAAAATACATAATTTGGGTACCTACCCGCGAAAAAACTTGTGTTAAATTTATATAAATCTAACGTTTAATTGAGGCCTGTCAGAGCAAAGTCAACAATCTCCCGTCAGACTAAAATTGAGATAATTTTAATAAATTATATTGAAATGTTGTTGTTAGTCTAGTAGCAAACTTCAAGGTAAAATCTACAATTATAAATTGGAGATTGCTGACTTTGATATGAATTGCTGGAGATTGCTCATTTTGTTGTAAACGTTTAAGGAGATGTAGAAAAATAAACAAAAAAATAATTGTATTTTTTTCCTTTAATGGTTATAAAATTTATACAATCAATGTGGGAAAATTCTGAACTGGATCACATAAATCTGGAGTTTCTTCTAAATCTGGGACCAGGTTGCCTCTTGCAAAAAAGTTTTTATAGTTTTTATAGTACAACAACTCATCATCTTCTTCCCACTTTGCCCCGCAATGTTTTGACATTATCAGCCTTTTCTTGCTTTACCTTTACGTCTTGTTATGGTATAATAGTACAAAATAAACAAGATAACTTTTTTTATAATTCTTAAAACAATAAAACGTATATATACCTACCTATTTTAAATATATTTTTAAGTGCAATTTACTGCAATAGAACTTAACAGTATGTACCAGTAAAAAAACACAAAATTAAATCTCTAATATACGTTATAACATCAAATGTTAGGATATCAGGTGACACAAATTACTAATTTCTAATGGTGGAATTGGAGATTGTATACTTTGCTGCAAATCTCTCATTGGAGATTGTCGACTTTGCACTAAATGTCATTTTTAAAATAGGATTTTAGGCAGGATTTAGCTCCTTTTGCAGCACATAAACTTTATCATCTTATAGATAATTAGTTGAAGTACAGCCTCCGCAAAAATCTAATTTTTGACCAAAAGTGGAGATTGTCGGTTTTGCTATGACAGGCTTAATTTAATTGTGACGTTTACATTTAAAGTCAATCACACTGTAGCGTCGCCATGGTAGCGGGAGGAAATGGAACATTAATTTTCTTACCTGATTAGCGGGAGGGAATGAAAAATATTTACCTACAGGGGAAGGAATAAGATTGTTCAAAGCGGGAGAAATGAATGTCCCGTGGGCCAAGTAAAATTTCGCCCATCGGTTAAAGTTTAAAAATGAAATGGTGTTCAATAAACAGCCTCCTGATAATATTACTTACTTCACGGTGGTCAAAACTTAAGTATAGGACGAACAAAAATGCCAACCAAAACTGATAGCATATTTTGATTATAGACCCTTTTGGTATCACTAACATGTATTTGTCAAAATCCCAGCTGATCCTATTTTAAAGGTTTGCAAACTTTTTTGTTTTTCTATTTCTATATATTATTTTGCAATTATTGTACTAAAACTATCTGTACAATTTTAATAAAATTAAGCAAAATAATAAACTTTGTATCATTTAAATTACTTTACTCCCCAGTATTAATTTATTGACCTATTATTTTTTACCACTAAAAACAAAACATAACAAAAAAAAAAAACAAAGATTTATATCTTAAATATTTTTTATAACAAAAAATACTGGAAGTTTGTCTATGAAATAATTACAACTTGCAAATTTTGTAAAACAATAATTAAGGTGATTATGAAAAAAATTGCTATACGTTATAACGCAAGTGACATTTTGCTTTAGTTGTTTATTTAATGTATACTTTATAAAGTTAAAAATAGTATTTTAAAATGAAAATTAAACCGAAATTCAAGTTAAGCCATGAAGAAAATCGAAAGAAGGTATGTGCTGGCTGAGGAGACAAAATTGTTTTTGGTAATCGAAAAATTCAGAGTTTAGGGTTTCTGAGAAAATATAAAAATTACTGCAGACTTTTTCAAACGAACACTTTAACTTGTGATTAAAAATTACCTACTTCAACGGTATTTTTGCATAGCCACAATTGCCAAATTTTCAAAATTGCTAGAGAATTTCGCGGCAGCCAAGAATGTATGTGCTTTATCTGCAAAATGGCAAGATATAAAGGGCATAAAAAAATATTAAGGGAAGAGGACGGACGAACGAACTAAAGTTTTGATATGCTCTTTCTTTCTAGGGGATATCGCTAGATGTATGAAGCATGTTTGTACAGAGACTGAAGAATTTAAAAATACTGTTTCCATGTTTAAAACAATTCCATGTAAAACCCAAGAAAAAGTTTTACTGAAAATTTAAGGCAAGCAGTAATCGATTTTGCTTCAAAGAATCTTTAGTTATTCATTAGTTTTGTATTAGATTTCGTTAAAACAATAAATAAGATGTATTTTACATTATTTTATATTTATAATGTAATTTATCCATATTTCAGTCATGTATCTGCCAAATTTTTAAAAACATTTGATAATGGTACTAGAGTATTTTATCGAAATGGCATAAACACTTTTAAAATACTAAGAAATATGCAAAACTTTAATAAAGGATCAGCTGGGATTTTGATAAATACATTTTTGTGTTACCAAAATATAATAATAATATATTTATTTATGCTCCAAAAAGATACACAATTTTTGCACAAGTCACACAAAGAGTAAGTAACAAAATATAATAAATAATTTATAATGAAAAATAAGAAATATTACACAGATAAAGGTAAATAAATTACAATTACAGGTAAATACATACAATTACAGACAAGATGATTTGCATAAAAACGACTAGATTAGGATAAATCACAAAAATTGTTGGATAAGAATTCATCCATTGAATAAAATGCTTTATTAATAAGATAGTATTTTAATTTAGGATTAAATTGTTTTATTTCCAAGTTTTTAGAAGCTAAAGGTAAAAAAACGTATACAATAAAAATTAGGTCCATTCCTGGTTCTATTTAATCTATTCCTTTCTAGACATATATTCCGTCTGTTTCTAGTAGGATTATCCTACTAGGATAGCCATGTACAGTGTCCTGGCTATTGTAAATTTGTAGATTTTTTTTAATATAAATTAGACATTCAAAAATAAACAAACATGAAAAGGTAAGAATTTTTAATGAAATAAAGTGATGTTTACATTCCGATCGATAAGATATATTCGCAATAATTCTAACTGCACGTCTCTGAAGACTAAATACTCGGGATTTGGAGCTAGAAGCGCCCCATAATAAGATGCCATATCTAAGTATTGACTCAACAAGTGCAAAATATGCTGTTCTTAAGTAAGATTTGGACAAAATATGAGCAAGATTTCGCAATAAAAATATATTAGCAGTTAATTTTTTAGCAACATCTTCACCTCGGTTATGCCATAATAACTTAGAGTCTTTATGTATACCCCAAAACTTTGTATGTTCGGTCAGTTCAAGATTTGTTTTGATATTTGGGATATTTTTTAAAGTGAATATTATATTGACCGTCTTTTCAACATTTAAGTTTAATTTTTTGGTGTTAAACCATTGCAGTTCTAATTTTTTACCTCTTACAGCAAATGAGGTGTCATCTGCAAACAAGGTTATATTGTTTGGTAAAGATAGATAGTTTGGCATATCATTGACAAATATTAGAAATAATAGAGGTCCCAGGATCGAACCCTGAAGAACACCATAAATTACCTGAGAAGGTTGGACTCAGAGCCATTGTGTATGACTATTTGCTGTCTTGAAGATAAGTATGAGCTTATCAATTTTACACTGTTAGGGTGAAAATTGTAGCAATATAATTTTCTAATTAGAATTTCGTGCGATACACAATCAAAAGCCTTACTCAGGTCTAAGAATGTGCCTATCAAATAAAGTCTCAAAAGAGTCTATAATCAGTTCGTCCTATACTTTAGTTTTGACCACCGTGACTTACCTCGAATAACCCAGACAAAAGTTCCTGGAAGGTATGCGCATTCAAGCTATCCAGATCCACGTTCTGAGCTTGCTCCCGCACCCATCTCCTTTGCTGCGAATTCTCGAACCTATCCGCCATACTCCTGAGCGAACGGAACCGCCGCGACGAAGAATAACCGCCTGTTTCGGATGATCCCAGTTGCGGAGGCTCCAGGCCCACTCTTCTTATTTCAGTCATCAGATGACGGAGATACAGCTCGTTTGTTTCTCTTATAACATCAGAGCTGGCTGGATAGTCGCCTTCTGGCGAATCCTTTATGAAATAGTTGTTCAGGTGGCGAACATTGCTGATTTCTCTCTCCATTTTTTACTTTTATTAGTAAGATTTTTGGTAAAATATTGTTTATGAACAAACTATAAAACACTAATTAATCATTTTATTTTAGTACACTATCTCATAAACACAAGCACCTAAAATACCGATACAAACAATCAAATATACAATGTGTTTTTTTTATACACGTTTTTTATTTATACCGGGTGTCTTCATTGCATTTATATAGCTAATTATACTTACTGGGAGTTTTTTAGATTGCCTTTGGTTTTTAATTTTTATTTCTTCTTAATAACCATTTTTATTTAAATTAAAATTGCTAAAATAATGTATAACTCATCTGTGTCTAGTATTATGGAAACTGCTGTCATTTGGGACAATAAATATATATTTAGTGGTTATGAGAAAATGTTAAAAATTTGAGGCGGCGTTTGTGTCAAAATTAGAAGTGCAAAATCAACTTATTTTGCTTTATAAATAATTAATTATATGCATTATTTGCCAAATTATTTTTTTATCAACTTACCTAAGTATTTTTTTATAAAATTATTTTTTTAGTAACATATATTTTTTAAAAATTATGTTTTTATGAAATTATTTTTTAACAAATTATTTTTTATGAAATTATTTTTTTATGAAATTATTTTTTTATCAACTTATTTTTTTATGAAATCATTTTTTTATGAAATTATTTTTTTATTAAATTATTTTGTTTGGATAACCATGTTTCCTTTTGTTGAGGGAAAATTTGTCGATTTGGCGTATTATCTGCCTTATGCAGGGGATTTAAAATATATGATACCATAGACATATTAATATGTCCATGTCCATGTTATCATACATGGACCATGTATGATATGAAATGTAAACTAAATTAAATTTAGGTTATATCAAATTTGATAATATTTATATTATGTAAAAATCTAAAAATCTCATATCTCAAATCTCATAAAGACAATGAAAAAAACAATACCAAAACAATTGTTATACTAGTAGTATAATACTACAGAAAACAACCAAAATGGTTAATTATTAAAACCATCTACATATTAATATTTCTATAATAAAAACATTTTGACTATCGTGGTTAAAATACAAGGTTGACAAATTCTTGCTTCAAAATAAGTTGATAAAAATAATTTCGTAAAAAAATAATTTGATAAAAAAATTATATCATAAAAAAATTAGTTGATAAAAAAGTAATTTAATTAAAAAGTAATTTGATAAAAAAATTATTTGATAAAAAAAATAATTTCATAAAAAAATAAGTTGATAAAAAAGTTGATAAAAAATAATTTCATAACAAAATAAGTTAATAAAAAAATAATTAATAAAAAAATAATTTCATAAAAAAATAAGTTGATAAAAAAATAATTTTATAAAAAAAATCATAAAAAAATTAGTTGATAAAAAAGTAATTTCATATAAAAATAAGTAAATAAAAAAATAATTTTATAAAAAAAATCATAAAAAAGTAATTTCATATAAAAATAATTTGATAAAAAATTATTTAATAAAAAAAATTATTTCATAAAAAAATAATTTCATAAAAAAATAAGTTGATAAAATAATAATTTCATAAAAAAATATCATAAAAAAATTAGTTGATAAAAAAGTAATTTCATAAAAAAATTATTTGATAAAAAACCCAGGTAACCAAACGTAACGAAAAAGTGACAGAAATTGTATGTATGTTTTCTTTATCGTCACGTGTATAATCGTCGAAACTATATCAATTTTAAACTCAAATTTTTCACAAAACCGCCCACCTGCCGTTATAACGTGATCGTCACGTTAGCGTTATCGTAATTTTAAACCGAATCGACATAACGTTTACGTGTCGCTGTAATCGTTACTAAATCAACACGAAAATACAGTTATATTCGATTTTGAATTTGTGACCGTATCTTTAACCAGTGGCGGCTGGTGGATTTTTGGTATATATACCGGTATACCAATATCTCAGTTATTATACATAGGACCCAAACCAAACTTTTATGAGTTTATAATAATATTAAATTGAAGTTTGCGAAAAAAGTAATTTTTTTCAGCCCAGTCCCCTGCCCCCTAATTAAGATAATGCAAATTAAAGTGGTGCTATTAATAACTCAGTGCAGTTTATCGACAAATTTCAAAATTTATTTCAAATTCCAAGTAGATTTTATACCATTTAAACTTTTTTTTATCCTAAAATAAAATTTAAAAAATGGTATATTTGTAATCTTGGATTTTTTAAATAAATTTTGAAATTTGTTATAAACTATAGTGAGTTATTAATTGCACCACCTTAATTTGAATCATCTTAATTAGGGGGGCACGCTGAAAAACTTATTTTTTTCGCAACAATTATTAATTTTATTACAACTTCATAAAAGTGTTGGGTCCCATGTCTAATAACTAAGATATCAGTATACCCCAAATCCCCCAGTCGCCACTAGTGACTAGTGACAGCTGTCTTTAACTAATCTGCTCAAGTCTCAGATTGCTGGAATTAGTCCTAAATTTTTACTATAGTAAGCTATAGCTATATGTATATTTTAAATAATTAAATAAGCACAAAACACTGAAATGGAACAGGTTTCAGAAGAATTTATGATTAATTAATAATAATACCTTTAACAAAAAAATATATTTCTCAAACCAAATTATAAAAAAAATAAAAAACTAAATAAATAACTCTAAAAAATATATTCTTCTTTAAAAGGATAAAAACCAAATAAATAATTTTCTAAAGCATATTTTTTCTTCTACTCGACATTTTGCTGTATTTCTTTTTTCTTTTGCTGAAAAAAAGTATTAATGTGAACACAAGTTATATACCTCCTCTACATACAGTAAACAGAATTTTTGCATAATTAAGTTTTTAAATCAAAACCACTTAGGTATACCTAGGTACTTGTTAAATATTTAGGTAATTTTAAAAGGCATTAAAATAATTATTTATTAATAAAATGAATGTTAACATAACCTATAATTATTTTTATAGAAAAACAATATGAAAATTAATACTTACAATTAACGCCTTCCAAAGAAAATAATATATAATAAAAACTAAAGACAAGCTAATAATTTTTAAATAAACCAATTTCAAAACAAATTAGTTGCACGGGAACACTAAACAGAACAAAATCAGATCAATATACCTACTTAGGTACTTATTTGACAATATTGGCGAATTGAATAAAGAGTTAAGAGGGTAGCTAAAGACACGGTAAATCGTAAAGTTAAAGTCACGGTATACCGTGACTTTTGTTATAACGTTATAACGTGACAATAAAGTCACGTTTATATAACGATTAATTTAGCAAAGTAAGTCTATGGAAAATCGTGAAAGCATTGGTAAAGGCAGATTCTATATCAAATCGACATCTCCAAAATTATTCATTTTCGTTAAAGATATATAGGTCACAACTTTATAGTTAAGATATTGGCCACGTTAACGTCACATTTAAAAATGTTAGTCACGTTTGGTTACCTGGGAAAATTATTTCATAAAAAAATAAGTTGATAAAAAAATAATTTTATAAAGAAATATTTTTTTTTTAATAATTTGGTAAATAATGCATATAATATAAATAATATAATAAATTATTTATAATTATTACTTAGGTAATTATTTATAAAGCAACTTTTAATTTTGACACAAACGGCGCCTCATATGTTTTCTTTACTAATTCGACCACGCTGATTTCAAAAAATCAAACCGCAGTTTCGTAACTCTTCGCGTTTGGGAGTTTCACTGGAAAACCGAGATATTTTTGTTATAAGGGGGGACCAAGGCAACATTTTTTCTGAAAAACATGAAATCGAAAGTTGCCCAATTAATTTTTTAACATGTTTTCTTTGATAATTCGACCACGCTGATTTCAAAATTTAAAAAAATAATTGCATAATATATTACAGTAACGCATTAAAATAAAAAAATTAGCGAAGTGGTGCTGTAGTTTTAATTTATATCATACAAAAAACAAGAAATATTAAATATAATCACAAAAAAATGAAAAAGTCAGAAAAAGGATCAGATGGGGTTTCTGTAAAAGGTGTTTATTTATACAGGGGTTGTCTCTAACAATACCCTACTGTTGGTTTTTGTTGTTTTGACCCGTTCTGGACCCCTGTACGAGATAAAATATAAAATGCCGAGTGCATCTTCAAAGGGGCATAGATCCCGTATAAAGCATTTTTGACTCCATGTTTAATGTTCATATGTAGAATAACCTCTTAACATTTTTGGATGGAATCCTGCATTTTATAATGTAAAATATTTTTTGAAAAAATAGGATCTCCAATAAATTTTTAGTTGAACAAAATAAAAGAGGAATTCGCGATTAAAATTCTGTAAAAAATAAGACGCAAAACTAAATGCATCGATCCGTTTCTAATTTTTTACTAAACAAGGAAGTTATGACGATTTAAAGTTTATATTTGTTTACGTCAGCTTATTAGACTGTTGCATAATTTTATTTAAAAATATTTAAATAAAAATTACATACATTTTTAGTGTTAATATTTTAAGTACCAATACAAAATAAAAAAAATTACGAGGATATTTTGTCTATAAAAAATGTATACCCATGGAAAATGAGTTTTCATACTTTCTTTTTAATCAAAAATAAAAAATATTGTAAAGAATCTAAATAAAATCTGTAATAGGTACATAATAAGGTAAAGTATATTTCTAGAAAAAAATACATAAAATATACCATAAATAGCAAAATAAAAAAGTTTACAGTTGTAAAGACTCCTGCGTTCCACACATCTTCTTAATACTGTCCATTGATGTCCATATGTAACCAGGAATTGCAGGAGTATGCACTGAAGGATAAGGGGATGAGTGCGATTTATAGTAATCAGAAGGAGCATGCATAACAAATTCCATGCAGTCTAGGTCTCTCATAATGTCTTCTTCAGGACCTAAAAAATAAAAAAATATTTTAAAATTTTAAAGTTACTTTTAAACAATATAGTGTTGATGACATAAAAAATATACTTTTTTACTACAAACAATTGTTAAAAATACCTTTTGGAAACCTTTTATAAATTAATACTTCAGGTAGGTATACAAATTTACTAAAAAGGACAAATTGTAAATTATTTAAAAACCAATAATATTAAATTCCACCCAAAAATATTATATTAAAAGTTTTCAGAATAAAATTTAAAAGTATTACAGAAATTACCTACTAAAATAAATAAAAATAGTTAAATTGTTGAAAAGTAAGTTAAACCAAGCATAAAAAATACCTACATATTCTTCAGCTAGCTGTAGATGCCTTATTTATTTTGTTACCATATTGATATTTGTGATTAGGAAATTATTAAAAAGAGCCCCACATCGTACCATTAGAGAACAATTTTTGTTTTTTAATTCTCATAATATTTACTATGGTTAATTTATAATCATTTCTGATATTTTTCCGCAAATTTTGAAAAGTAAAACTTTAAACATTTTAAATATTGTTTCTAATTTAGTGGATTTCTTTATAACTTTTTAATTTAAAAGTAATCAAAAATTTAGAAAAAAATCCGACAATGAACTAGAAGAATTTGGACTCATTTTTAGTTTTCGAGATATCTTAAAAAACGAGAATTTGTAATTTTATTTTTATTTGAAAAACGGTTAGTTTGACAAAATATTTTTGCTAGCTTTTAAAACTGCTGAGATAAGATAATCAAGAAACCCATGCAATGTCTTGTAATTTGTTTTAAAGTGTATTTTTGTAGCAAAAAACGCCATATTTGTACAAAATACAAGGCCTATTATTTCAGTTTTTGAGAGTAAATTTTTAAAAATTCGTAATAACGATTTTAAAAAAAATCTATGCATGGCACTGGATTCACCACTCCTCAAAACAACCCTATAGTAAATTTTATAAAAATTTTAAGTAGGGTCGAATTTGTAGAATTTTTACAAACATTTTTTCTGTCAAGTTATCCATGAAATAAATAACATTGAAATAAAATTAAACTAATATTAAATATTCCTATGCTTAGTTTTGACAACTAAACAACGCAATAGAAACAACAATGAAACGAAAAATAGAAAATTCAAACAAATCTCTGCAATTAGATTTTTGTCACTTCTCCTGCACAAGAAGATAAAAGGGTATTGAAATAAATGGTGGATTAGTAAAGGGGACAAAAATCTAATGGTAGAGAATTTTTGGAATTCTCTTTTTTTTGTTTAATTTTTTTTAGGTTTCTATTGCGTTTTTTATTTGTTAAAACTAAGCATAAGAATATTTATACCATGTTAATATCAGTTTAATTTTATTTCAATGTTTTTTTCATGGAAAACTTTAAATTTTTTTAAATAGTAATTATTGTGCATTTTTAATTTAGGTAACTACAAAATCGCTCCTACTTAAACATTTTCAATCAAATTTAGTATCCAGTGCGTGTTAGATTTTTTTTAATCGCTATTATGAATTTTTAAAATTTACTCTCAAAAACTGACATAGTAGGCCTTGGGTTTTGTAAAAATATGGTATTTTTTGTTCCAAAAATACAGTTTATCAAGATCTACACTTTAATACAAATCCGGTTAAAATTGCAGAATAAACAAAGATTTTATATAAAAGGTTGTTAGGAAAACAAAATAAACAAGGCAACTTTAGCTAGCTGTGTTTGTCATTTTTTTACAGTTTTTGTCCAAAAATTAACTGTAAATCATAATACACTAGATATTATTCACAAATCTTAATTTTAATACCTATTTAAAATATTGTTAGAAATTTGTTTAATATCCTTTTATAAATATAAATAGTAAAGGATTACAATAACAAAAATAAAATTTAATAAAAGGTTACAATAACAAAAAACCAAATAATTCACCTATTATGTAAGTAGCAGGATCAAATTCTTGTTCTGGTGGTGGACTTTCTTGTGTTGGCAATAACCATGTAACCACAGCACTCTTTTTACAATATTGGTCAGTCATCAAACCTTTAATTTGTGCATAGTATGTGCCACCTTCTACATCTATCATGGAAACAATATCACCTATTTGAATGTAGCTACCCTAAAAAATAATTAATACTATAACAAATCCGGTACCATTAATCTATCTATCTATGTATTTACCTTGTAAAAAACATATTCACTGGTGACTGGAGTAGCAACCGCAGTGGGCGCTTTTATAGGCTGCCTTTTATGCAACTGCCTGCGACCTTTGCCTTTCGGCAATGCTGCCTTGGGCAGAGCAAATGGGTTTAACCTCGTTTTATACGATCGCGTCTGTCTAATTTTTCTTTTGCTCGATTTGCCCGACTCCTCTGACTTATCGTCCTCGTCCTCTTCCTGTTCCTTTTTTAGGTTGTCTTTTGTTTCGTTCACGCAGTTCAAACACAGGGCTCCTAGATTCTCCGCGTTTGTCCATAAGGGCGATTCCGTCGCTTTGCACTTTAAACAAGTCGGTGTTCCCTTCATGGGCATTGCAAATAAATAATTGATATTAAATCAAGTTGGCCGATATGCCAAGAAAGCTGTTTATAATAATTTGAGGTTAGATTTGTGACGTATGTGCACGGCGCCATCTAGTGGGTTAATTTAAACTATTTTTAAAGATAAAAGAGAAATCTGTACACTAGTTTATTTTTATTTAGGAGAAATCCGTAAGCCAGTCTATTGTTATCTGAGTTGCATAATAACTAACTACATATATGGGTGATTCTACAAAAGTTGGACAACTTGATGTCATCAGTCAATAGAGTAGGTATTTTAATATTTTTTGTAAATATTTTAGTTTATTACAAAAGATCCAGTTTTTTTTAACTTGTCCACCCAATTTATTTTTTCCAAAGCACGTTTGTAGAAAAACATAATAAATATTCAAAACATCAGTACCTTGGCGTGTCACAACTCCTAAATCAAATATTTGAGTGATTTTATTTTAAAATATATTCAATTTATCTTAAATTTTTTAATTTCACTACAAAGTATAAAGCATTAAATTATGTATTCTTCATATTTTATCATAGATCCGAATAATAGCTATTTTTAAAAAATTGATAATCTTTGTACTCACTTTTATCCGTCAGTTCTGTGTACAATGTTAAAATTCAAAATTCCTGCGAAATATTGAAGTTAAAAAGGCAAGTACTCGTTTTAACTCGTTGGTAAAAAAATACCTACAGACCCCGCCCTTTGCACGACAGTCATCTTGAAAACAATGCTAGCGGCGAAGTTGTGGTGAATGCACGTATAGTTCCAGTCATAATTTCAGTACTTTGGTGAGTAGATATTTTCTTACGTATATATATTTCATTGTAGTTTATATAGGGCAATACTTATGTGATTTGTTCATAAGTAGCATCCACTAATAAAAAATATCAGTAAAATACTTAAGTTTGAATTCTAATCTCAAATTTGTATCCCATTCATCAGTACCGTGTCATCAGTTCCATGTTCGATTTTTCGGTTATCTTTTTTTCGCAAACTTCAATTTAAATTCTGCTCAAAGTTGCAATAAATCTTATATTTTCTAATAAATTATGTATTTAATTATTACCCTAGTATACTCGTCACTTTCCTTACATTCAAATTTAGAAACCACAGATATTTCAGAAACTGTTTGAAAAAGTGACTGGCCCGGTCTGGAACAGTATATTTATTATATTATCTCTGTTCTCGTAACAAAAAACTGTTTAATTTTCTCCGAAAACTATAAAAACAAAATGAGGTCAAAAGTTGCCCAACTTTTGTAGAATCACCCATATATTATATAAATAGAGCATATATAAATGTTAATATATATGTTATTATTAAAGTTATATTATTTTGAGACTGTTTTGCACTTAAAATTGATTAGGAAAAGGATAGATCTCAAAAAATTTTGTTGTTGTTTACACTTACGGTGGTATCTCCATTTGAAGAGCTTCCAGAGAATGTCTACAAAATTTAAATTAATATATGATTTTGGGAGGATCAGACAAATTATTGCTTGCTGAGATTTCCATAAAATATAAACTAAATATTCAATTTTTAGGCCTTTATCATTATCCCATTTTGTTTCTCGAGTTTGGAAACGAATTTTTAAAATATTGTATGGATAATCTGCAATCTGTTATTTTCCATAGATTCTTTTAAAAAACTGTTTTTAAACTTGAGCCACCAGAGGATTATATAAAGGGCTTTAAGATTGATTATAACAGTAGTTTCTACGAAAATCCTAAAAAAACCTTAAAACTATCATTTCAAATTTTTTGCCAACATAAAAAACACAAAATATTACAGTTTACTACAGTAAACTTTAATCGACATTATAGGTACAACAAATTAACAATTTATATTGTTGCTTATGTACTTTTTAGGTTGTTTTTAGTTTTAAATGATACTAATTAAATTTAATTTGTAATAAAGAATTAATACTTGTTATTTGAAATAAAACGTTTTATTTTCACCACATTGGCACCGCTGAATTTGCTATCCTGCTTTACAATTATAAAGCTTGTACATTGTACAATGTACAAGCAGTATACTGTACCTACCGATATTAAGTAATTTAATTGGATTTGATTAAAAAGCTTTTATTAAATTTTTTTATAGTACCTATATACAGGGTGTTTCTACATAAAATGGACAACGTAATAAAAGTTGTAGATCTCATCGAGACTTTTTTTAATTTTTTTTTCATCTGAGCTTTTCTTTTGAAATTATCAATTTTTTTTGTTTTTTATTAACCTTTTTATTTTCGTTATTTATGGCCGGGTTTAAAACAGTTTTTTGAAATTGTTAATAGGTAGGTAGGTATCTACGATTCTTGCGTAAAACATTTTTATTAAAAATATTAACCAACAAAACATAAGGAGGTTTATTTAAAAACAAAAGAAGGTTGATAATTCAATAGAGGTAAACCTAATCTACAATTGTAGATCTCATTGAAACTTTTTTTAAATAAATATTTTTTAATTGTTTAATTGTTTTCAAAGTATCGACCTTACCTTGTTTTTATAAAAAAAAATTGTCTGTTAATGGTCGTAATAATTTTTTTGGAAATTTATTAACAATTTTTGTGTTAAACATTTTAAAATATTAACCTTTATAGAAGTTTATATATAAAAACAAAAGAAGGTAAAATAAAAAATAAAAAAAGTGTTAACCTCGATGAGATCTACAACCTTCATAATTCGAACTTCCATTAGTAATGTAAACTCTTGAAATGATTTCCATTAAAATTCAATACATATAGAAAATAAAAGGTCAGTTATAATTTATTGTTTACATTGTTTTAAATTTCCTATTTTTAACTAATTGAATTCAAATACAATATTTACATAATAAAATGTCTTATTTAAATCAAGAAAATCTGGTTTAAACTGGAAAATAGTACAAATTCAGGTATTTTTATTGTGTTTTTTATTGCCTACTTATAATATTTATAAATTTATATAGCCCAGTCTATTTAAAATTATTAAAATTTGTATATAATATATTTTAAATATTCTATAGTATATATTTTTAGATATTTATATAATTCCAATATGGCGGCCATGGAAAAACAAAAGATGATATCATACCATATGGTGGTATCTCAAAATCTAGTAAGCGAAAACAAATTACAAATTGGATGTAGATAAATATGTATGTTTACAATGTAAACTTTACATGTTAAACATTTTTTTTTAATTTCCAGGATTAACGAAGTTAAAACGATTTTTGTTTTTGACAGGTTTTCCGTTTCCTTTAAATTTTTAAATTCCAATTTTAAAATAAAATTTTAATAAAAATTAAAATTACGTGTCTTACGGTAGTATACCCATGTTTAGAACACTTCGTGTATATATATATATGTATATTAATTAATATTTATACAATTTAATATAATAATAATATAATTTATATAGAATTATTTTTAATTGTATTATAATATTTAAAATATTCCATTATTATAAATGAATAAACGGCCATTTCAAACGCGCCAAACGCACGAATTACAAAACTGTTTTTATAAAAAATAATAAAGATAATTTATTATATAATATTTTAAGATCAAAATTTACAAAAATATTATTCTTTTATTATGCTATATAAACGCGGAAAATATTTTATAAAAGTAGAGATAATTTTAATAATTAAACAAGACAAAAAAAAGATTTGTCTTGTCCCATCCACACCTGTCATTTATTAAAATTATCTCTACTTTTATAAAAATATTTTGTGTTTTTGTTTATTTAATGTATATATACAGGCTATAGCCTAACAAAAGAAGAATATATTTGACAATTGTAATGGAAAAGTAAAATCTAAATTACCTAATTTAAAAAAAAACCAGTTTTGTAATTTTTCCGGTCCGTATGCTTAAAATCGAAAATAATATTTTTAATCATTAAAAATATTTTAGAATATTTATTAAACATATTAAAAAATTGTACAATTTTGTTTAAATATTTTTAGCTAAAAATCTTAATTTATTAAGATGTATTCTAATTTTTGTATTATTACTTTAAAATTATGTATTAATAATAATAATTCAATAATAAACAAAAACTAATAATTTATTTTTATTTAAAATTATTTATAACACAACAAAAATTTATAAAAATTAAAAATTAACTGTTATAAAAATCCACTAAAAATGTATTAATCAGAAAGGTCTTCTAAGATAAATTATTTGAAATAAGCACGTGGCGTCCCTGGGACACGATGCGTAGCAAACAAAAAAGCTAAATGTCTAGTTCAATGAAAGAGAATTGCGAAACGCAAAACGCATGTTCGAAATCTCCATTAACGTTTCTATCTAATAATAAATCTTTTTAATTATGACACGAACGCACACAAACGCTGTCAACACGTTTCGGGTTTTGTCCTTTTCATTCGTTCTTCCTTTGGCCGCATGCAAAAATATAGGATTATTTTGACAGCAAAAAGTGTTTTATATTAAGATACTAGATATGAGTACATTAGATGCACAACTCTGTATTTGCAAGATAAGTGATTTTAAGAAAAACATGAAAAACCGCTCATAAGATCATTTTTGAAAAATAAAATAGACGTGCTATTGCATCATTTTTATTTAAAAAGGTAAAAAAAAATCCTTTGAAATTAGGTACTTCAGTAAATAATTGAAATCAAAATATTTAAAAACATAGTTTTGCATCTTCCTTGTTCAAAGACCAAGTTTTGCAAGTGAAAAGTGCAAATAAAAAAACTTACTAAAATATAACAATTAATATCAGGTGATTATTATGTCGTCACGTAATGCGTATACTAGCGACGTGATTGCCCTGATAGCAAAATTTGATTCTAAGAATCTTCTAAAAAGATATGACCCGGAATAATGGAATATTCTTAGAATCTTCCCTTATTGCTAAGAATGTTCTTAGGGACTTTTAAAACATTCAATAGATACCCTTTTAATGATGCAATTAGATTCTTAGAAGCTTCTTAAAACCTTACTAAAAAGCATTCTGGTCAATTTTATACCTGTTAATATT